TTTTATAAACTTATAAATATAATATTAAAATAAACAAACTTCTTTTTTTTTTGTTTTAATACTTTCTTACTTTTTTTTTTATTTATATATTTTATTGTCTTCTTTTATATTTCTGTGTTTTTTCTTTTTTCTTATTTGTGTTTTCTTTAATTTGGCTTTTTGATAAAGCATGTAGCTGCTCTAGCTAATAATCAAAAAGATCAAATTCTTAGAATATTGAGGACCCAATATAAATGAAGCCAATTGCTACTAGATAGTATTATACCTAGACTATAAAATTAAATAAATCTTTTTTAATATAAAAATATATAAAAAATTATATTTATCTGTTAACAATAATTTTCTGATACTTCTAATAAAATAATAAAAACAAAACTGCCAAATATAAAAAAAATAAAAAATAAATTAATTTTAAAAAATTTTTATAATTCTGACTAAAATTATAATAACTTGGCCAGAATTATAGTAATTTTGGCCAGAATAATAAAGCCAAATTTTAATTTTATTAATAAAAAAAATTAATTTTGAAACTTTATAAACATTAAAATTTAATAAATTAAAAACAAATTTTATAATTTAATTTTTTAAATTTTTCTTTATATTTTTATAAAAAAAAAATATTTTAGCTATACCAGTTTTTTTTTTAAAACAATCTATTTTACATGCTGATTTAAAGATTTTCGCACTATATATACCTATTTATATTATTATATTTAGTATAAAACGCAAATATTTAATAAAAATTAATTATATTTTTAATATAATAATTAAACCTCATAAATCTAAAACTAATACAAAATATATATATCAAAATATATCTATATATATAAGTTTAAACAAAATAGGCTTATTTTTTTTAAAAAAATGTAAAATTATACCTAATTTTTACTCATTTTCGGATTGCTTATTTTTGAAACTTCATAATATTTGTTAACTGTAAATTTCATAAACATTTTTGTATAATTAAATCAAAATTTTCCATTTACTATATTTTTACAATTTTAATGCAATGGTTAATACAATTTTACATTAAATTTTTCATTTCTAATTTTTTGCTTGAAACAGTTAATTATTGTATTAATAAGATATTTTTTTTCTTTTTATACAAAAATATTTACTGTATATATATGTATATATTAAAATTGTTGCGACTCAAAGTTCAATCTAAAGCTTTTTGGATCATAAACTAAAAGTCAATATAAAACAAAAATTAGCAGCAAAAAAAAAAGAAAAAGAAAAAAAGGAAAAAAGAAAAAAAGAAAAAAACTTAACCGTACTCGATGATTTATTATTTTAACGCGAATGCACGTTAAAATATTTGAACTGGTGGTACTCTTTTTAGAGGAGTTGGTCTTTTAGGTGAAGGATTTGGTGCATCATCAGACTCTTCATGAGAAGAAGTAACATCATTGTTATTTGCCCCTTCCTCACCGCCTTCATGTATATTTTCGTCTGTATCCATCGAATCACAATCTCCATCTAAATCAACATCATTCACCGTAGGTTCATCTTCATGACTCTCCGTTACTGGTGACGACGATCGCATTGATTGTTCATCGTGTTCATTCAGAGTGCCCTCACACTTTAAGTCGACTTTATTTGTTTTTATTGATTCTGACGCTGACATGAAACTTCTTAAAGAAGCAGATGTCCCATTAATCTCGGGATCATGAACTAAGTACGTACGACCGGTTACAGGCGTTTCGTTTTTACAATTTATGCTTGGAGTGGAAAAATCTTCTGGTAGTCTGATAGCATCCGAATCTTTTTGAGGAGTATTTATTCCCATGCTCATAGAAGTATCTGGTTGAGATTGTTCCGTTATTTGAGATATACCTTCGCGAGTATTAGACAAAACGCGTGCGCTAGATAAAGGATGAGTATTCTGACTATTATGCTGATCTTTTGAAACATTAGATGAGACTGCTGATGACAAGATTAATTCTGCAGCCAGGGAGAGATTGTCTAATCCTGTGTGATCATTTGGCCGCATTGCAGAATACGATGTAGACCCGACTGGAACATTTGTTTGGATAGGAGAGTATGATGAGATTTCTGTAGGCATGTTCATTACATGACTGTCTAATTGCATTGGATATGCGGTTGGCATTAGATTAGCAGCAGGTTGTCGGAAAGAATATGCGGAATATGCCACTCGGTCACTGTCATTCTGTGATACAGAATATTGGGAAAAGACCGATCCGTTTAGATCTTGTTGATTTGGTGAAGTAGTAAAGGAATGATTACGGACAGATTGTGTTGAATATA